GATATAAAATACCTTGGGGTAACACTAACCAAGCAAGTGAAGGATCTATATGACAAGAACTTTAAGTCCCTGAAAAAAGAAATTGAAGATGTCAGAAAATGGAAAGATCTCCCATGCTCATGGATAGGCAGGACTAACATAGTAAAAATGGCAATCTTACCAAAAGCAATCTACAGATTCAATGCAATCCCCATCAAAATACCAACACAATTCTTCACAGACCTGGAAAGAATAATGCTCAACTTCATATGGAAAAACAAAAAACCCAGAATAGCCAAAAGAATCATGTACAATAAAACAACCTCTGGAGGCATCACGATCCCTGACTTCAAGCTCTACTATAGAGCTACAGTAATAAAAACAGCTTGATACTGGCATAAAAACCGACATGTGGGCCAATGGAATCAAATTGAAGACACTGACATTAATCTGCACACCTATGAACATATAATTTTTGACAAAGAAGCCAAAACTATACAATGGAAAAAAGAAAGCATCTTCAACAAATGGTGCTGGCATAACTGGATATCAACGTGTAGAAGGTTACAAATAGATCCATATCTGTCACCGTGCACAAAACTTAAGTCCAAATGGATCAAAGACATCAACATAAATCCAGCTACTCTGAACCTGCTAGAAGAGAAAGTAAGAAGTAGTCTTGAACGCATTGGCATAGGAGATCACTTCCTAAATATAACACCAGTAGCACAGACACTGAGAGAAACAATCAATCAATGGGACCCCTTGAAACTGAGAAGCTTTTGTAGAGCAAAGGATACGGTCAACAAGGCAAAGCGACAGCCTACAGAATGGGAAAAGGTCTTCACCAACCCCACATCTGACACAGGACTGATATCCAGAATATATAAAGAACTCAAGAAATTAGACATCAAAATGCGCAACAGTCCTATTAAGAAATGAGCTATAGAACTAAACAGAGAATTCTCAACAGAGGAAACTCAAATGGTTGAAAGACATTTAAGGAATTCCTCAACATCCCTAATAATCAGGGAAATGCAAATCAAAACAACTCTGAGATACCACCTCACGCCTGTCAGAATGGCTAAGATCAAAAACACTGAAAACAGCTTATGCTGGAGAGGATGTGGAGCTAGGGGAACTCTCCTCCACTGCTGGTGGGAATGCAAGCTTGTACAACCACTTTGGAAATCAATATGGTGCTTTCTTAGAAAATTGGGAATCCATCTCCCGCAAGATCCAGCTATACCACTCTTGGGCATATACCCAAGGAATGCTCAATCATACCACAAGGGCACTTGCTCAGCTATATTCATATCAGCACTGTTTGTAATAGTCAGAACCTGGAAACAACCTAGATGCCCTTCAACTGAAGAATGGATAAATAAAATGTGGTAAATATACACAATGGAATACTACTCAGCAGAGAAAAACAATGACATCATGAGGTTTGCAGACAAATGGATGGATCTAGAAACTATCATTCTGAATGAGGTAGCCCAGACTCAGAAAGACAAACATGGTATGTACTCACTCATTGGAGAATACTAGATGTAAAACAAAGATGTCTAGACAGCTACTCACAACTCCAGGGAGGCTACCTAGAAAACAGGACCCCAATAAATACACAGGGATCACCCAATGACAGAGAAATGGATGAGATCTACATGAACAACCTGGACGTGAGTGGGGATGATGAAGGGCAAGGCTTGAGGGAAAGAGAGCTTAGGGGAGCAGGAGATTCCAGTTGGATCAAGAACAGAGAGGGAGAACAAGGAATAAGAGACCATGATAAATGAAGACCACATGAGAATAGGAAAAAGCAAAGTGCTAGAGAGGTCCACAAAAATCCACAAAGATACCCCCACAATAGACTGCTGGCAATGGTCGAGAGACAGCCTGAACTGACCTACTCTGGTGATAGGATGGTCAAACACCCTAACTGTCGTGCAAGAAACCCCATCCAACTACTGAGGGATCTGGATGCAGAGATCCATGACTAGGCCCCGGGTGGAGCTCTGGGAGTCCAATTAGTGAGAATGAGGAGGGTTTATATGAGCAAGAGTTGTTGAGACCAAGGTTGGATAAAGCACAGGGACAAATAGCCAAACGAATGGAAACACATGAACTATGAACCAATGGCTGTGTCTCTATAACAGAACATAGAATCCTATAAGTATATGTCGAAAATTGGTCCAGCTGAATCTTGAGGTAGATCTATTCCCGTCTTTCTGAAGAACCACCATACTTATGTCCATAGTGAGTCTTAAAGTTTGCACTCTCAACTGCAATGGATGAGTGTTCCCCTTAAACTACATCCTCACCAGCATATGATATCATTTTTTATTGATTTTGGCCATTCTGATGGATGTAAGATGAAATATCCCAGTATTTTTAATTTGCATTTCCCTGAAAAATAAGCGTTTTGAACTTTTAAGTGCTTCTCAGTCATTTGTGTTTCATCTTTTGAGAATTAACTCTAGACTTGTACCTATTTCTTAAATTGAGTTTTTTTCTTTCTTGATATTTGGTCTTTTTAGTTTTTCATATATTTTAGATATCAGTTGTATATCAACTGTATAATTTGTAATGATAATTTTCCTTTCTATAACTTGCCACTTTGTTCAAATGATGATGTTCTTTGCCCATACATAAGCTTTTCAGTTCCATGAAGTTCCACTTGTCAATTATTGTTTTAATGACTTGGTGTGGGGTATTTGTATACTGTGTGAAGATGTATTTCTGTGATTTGTGTAATAAAAAGCTGAACAGTGAGTAGCTAGGCAGGAGAGAATGGGCATAACTTCCGGGCAGAGAGTGAACTTCTGGAAGAAGAAAGACAGGGTCAGCAGCCAGAGGTGGAGGAAGCAGGATGGGCAGTAAGGAGATGAGGTAACATGCCACGTGGAAGAACATAGATTAAAAAACATGGGTTAAATTCAGTTATAAGAACTAGTTAGGAACAAGCCTAAGCTAACCCAAGATTTCATAATTAATACTAAGACTCTGTATCATTATTTGACGACTGGTGTTCCAATAAGGAAGTATAGCAGTACAGTGACTGTGCTATTAGTGTCCTGTTCAAAAAGTCTTTTCCTGTGCCAATGAGTTCAAGATTATTCCACATTTCTATTTATTAGATTTAGAGTATCTGGATGGATGTTCTTGTTCTTGATCCATGTCGACTTGAGTTTTGTACAGGGCAGTAAAAATTATTCTGTTTATATTCTTTTACATGTAGCCATTCAGTTTGACCACAGCCATCTGTTGAAGATGCTGTCTTCTTGCTGGTGTGTAGTATATTTGGCTTCTTTATCAAACGAGGTGTTCATAGGTATGTGGACTAATGTCTGGGTCTTTGATTCTAATCCACTGATCAGCATGTCTATTTATTTATGCAAATACCATCTTGTTTTTCTGACTATTACTCTGCAGCACAACTTTAAATCTGAAGTGGTGATACATTAAGCAGTTATTTCATTATTCATTTTTAATCTATCCTAAGTTGTTTGTGTTTCCATATAAAACTAATTTTTTTAATTTTCTATTTCTGTGAAGAATTATGTGTGAATTGACAGAAATTGCACTGAATCTGTCAATTGTTTTGGGAAGGTGGCTACTTTCACTATATTAATCCTACCAATCCATGAACATGGGGGTCTTTTCATTATCTGATATCTTCTATTTCCTTCTTCAGTGTTTTAAAATTGCTATTATACAAGTTTTTCATTTACAGGATTAGAGTTGATCAAAGATATTTTATTATTTTTTTTTGTACCACCAGGCTCCCAGGTGGAGTGTCTCTACTGTCATGTGACACAAAGCACTGGGGGTGAGGGAGGAAAAGAAATGCAGCAAGGGTCTGCTGAGTCCTCAGTGAATGGAGGAAGAGTGAGTGGACAGGTGAGTGGTCAGTTACAGGGCTGGAGATGGTACCAGGGAAACTGAAATGGAGGATAGGAAGGACAGTGAAGATGGCCTTTTGTTTCCCAAGCCTGCATGCACACTGAGTTCCAGATAGACATTCTTTGTAGCTGTTCACAGTTGACAGAAAGGAAAGTCAATGGGCTGGAGCAGGGGGTGATGGGAAGGTCCACAGAAAGGAGGAGAGATGGGTTTTTGCAAGGTTTGGCAAATTCTCCAGGGAACCCACCACTGCTCTTCTATCAGTGATTCAGTCTAGATACTGTGGGAGTGAGTAACATGGATGGTGCCATCCTCAAGATGTAATCACCTCTGAGAATGTTCCTAAGAGTAGCTGTGTGTACTTTTGATTCCATGTCAACTTCTCTGGAAGGGAAGATGCATGCATAAAAACATCATATCTGCATTGTTAACAAGAACTCACTGAAGTAGAAAGAACATTGCAACTAAAAGCCCATGAGAGACCTGAAAAAGCCTTTTCCCAAATGCCACAACTCTTCAGGACAATTATTGATTTAAGTGTGTGTCTTCAAGAAAAGGAAGAGTTGCTTGATGAATGATCTGAGCATTCTGGAATATGGGAGTAGATTAGTAAATACAGTTCTAGACAGAAGAAATGTTGTTACACACAGACACGAATATATTACATATGAATTTATATATGAAAATATTATATATATATATTATATGAAGCATTGTACATATGCTGTGTTAGATTTAAATCTCAGAAACAGGCTCACTAGTGTGTACAAATACCATTCTTGATCTCTCAGCACTAGAACACACTTAATACAACATTTTGCTGTTTTATGTCTCTGAGTCCCTCACAGGTCAGAGAACACTTAAGCAGAGGCCTTACTGGTTAAGGGTACAACCACAAGGTGGTAGCAGACCTCAGCTGCTGGGGAGTATGCAGAGGATTCACTTCCTTGTGCTGATTGTGCAGGCTTAGGGCAGAAGCACAACCTTTTTCTCAGTGGCTGAGTGGATGACTCAAGAGGTAGAATTGTTCCTGAGAAAGAACAACACCCTGGTAGCTGTAGCTGACCTGCTAGTCATCACAATCTACACTGGATCTTAATTTAATTGGGAGAACAATGAAAACATATGTTCCTACTTTATTCATGTTCTTGTGGCTGCAGCTCGATGGTGAGTTAAGATCTTAGGACCACAGAATACTCAGTGGGCATTTCTGAGACATCCAGGAGGAACTCTATTTTATTCAGGTTTTCTCTGTTATTATAGAAAAGAGATAATTCTGCAAGGTTATGACCTGACAGCATTTCTCCTTTTTTTCCATCTTTCTGCACAGGGGTGATCCATGGTGAGCAGGTGGAGCAGCATCCTTCCATTCTTAGAGTCCAGGAGGGAGCCAGCGCAGTCATCAACTGCACTTACACAGACAGTACCTCGTCCTACTTCCCTTGGTATAAGCAAGGACCTGGAGAGCATCCTCAGCTTATCATTGACATTCGTTCAACTGTGGAAAGAAAGCAGGAGCAAAGACTGATCCTTTTACAGGATAAGAAAGCCAAACACTTCTCCCTGCACATCCCAGATACCCGGCCTGGAGACTCTGCCCTGTACTTCTGTGCTGCAAGTACACACTGCTCCACATGCACCTGCAGCCTGTCCTCAAACCCGCCACGGGGCCTGGAGCCCGGTCCACATCCTATGTCACAGGCCTCGAGTGCAGCATGTGTCAGTTGTTAGTTGACAAGAGCCAACTGCAGTGTGGACATTAATAACACACGATATAGTAGGTTAGGGTCACTGAAGCAATTTTGGAATTTTCTCCTTTGTTTTTAAAATGTATTTTAAAAATTTAAATACAATTTTGTTCTTCCCTTTTCCTTGCTACAGTATGTGGTGATTGTCACAGAGAACCAGAATCCCTGTGCTGCAGAGAAGTGGCTTTGGCACACTTAGCCCCAAGTGGGACATGTACATCACATATCCTCCTCCCAATGTCAGAGGTCACTGAGGAAGAGGAGGTGGAAAGACTGTAAAGTCATAGGTGGGAAGTGACTACAAGGAGACAATGTTTTCTGGACACAGCAGGGCAGCTGCACACATGAACTTCCAGTTGTTTACAGCACACCTAAGATCTTCAAAGGATTAGACAATACATAATTTGATAGAGGAGGGAAGGTGCACATTCCCACCCTTAGCTAAGGAGCTATGGGCAGCTGGAAGCTGCTGGGAGAGATACTCAGGTTTCTTTAAAGGTGAATCCCCTGGTCCATTGTCCACCCTTCACTGGAGGGCACACATCGAAGTGTATATAGGGATCACTTCCAAAACTCAAACCTTGAGGTGTTTTATTTTTAAAAGAGATGGACAAAACTGGATTGGTAGGGAAGTGTGAATGAATCTGTCAGCATTGAAGGGAGCAGGCGAATGTAATTAAAATTAATTGCATAACATTACCTAAGAAAATATAAAATGTGAAAAACTAGATAAATTTTATCAGAGGTGTGTGTGTGTGTGTGTGTGTGTGTGTGTGTGTGTGTGTGTGTGTGTGTTATTTTATGGACATCTATCACACTAAATAAAAATGTATACACATAGTTCAGTAGTAACACTGGTGATTTCAGGCACCCACTGTGAACTTGAGTCCTGCCTCCTTAGTGTGAGGTTTCAGGTTTATTCTCAATGTGTTTTGTAGACATCTGTGGTGCAGTTTGAAGGGAAATCAGCAGAGGGCGCTGCCTCTTCGGATGTGGTTAATGTCTGCATCCAGGTGGTGGCTTCACATGACAGACTGTCACTGTGCAGAAGGAGGTCCTTGTTTATGAGTGAGGAGTTTCAATAAGGTCCTGCAGGAGACTTGCCCTCTGAATTTGGTGCACTCAAGAACCAAGTGTCATTTTCTCCTATGAACATGCTTCCTGACACCTGCTCAGTTCTGCTGCTCCTCTTCATGCTCAGTAAGTTTCATTTACCCTAAGTATGGATGATGCCATTTTCTTATAACTGTAGAAGTCTTTATGTTCTTCCTCACATAGAAAATTTCTCCTTATTTATTTGTTTATCTATCTATTTATTTGCTTATTTATTTTCAGGGAGGAGCAAAGGAGACTCAGTGACCCAAACAGAAGGCCAGGTCACTGTCACAGAGGGGTTGCCTGTGATCATGAACTGCACCTATCAGACTACCTATAGTCCTTTTCTTTTCTGGTATGTGCAATATCCCAACAAAGGCCCTCAGCTACTCCTGCAGAGCGCCACAGACAACAAGAGGACAGAGTACCGAGGGTTCCAGGCCACTCTCCATAAGAGCAGCAGCTCCTTCCACCTGCAGAAGTCCTCAGTGCAGCTGGAAGACTCTGCCCTGTACTACTGTGCTCTGAGTGACACAGTGAGGGAGACTGCAGGGGAAGCTGCACACAAACCCAGGGTGCAGGAGCCTGAGGGGAGTGGCCTGTGAGGGAGGGCTGTGTGTCTTCTCTAAGTGGGGTTTACCCAGCCTCCTGAAAATCAGCAACACATCTCAGGTCAAATTCCTAGAAAACTAGGAATCTGTGGATATTCTGACAGGATAGGATGGAAGTCATTGCTACAGACAACTGGGCTTTGATCTCCTGAACTACTGTTTTCTCCCCAAGTAGAGGACCTCTCACAGAAAACATCTCAAGGAATTCCCTGACATGGGATTTATCTCTACCAAGTTGTCTTAGAAAATTCAGTGATTTATATTCTCCAACAATCTTGTTATTACTCTACAAATTTATGACCCAAATAAGGAACATAGACTCTAGTCTTTAAAAATCTGCTTCAAAATACAGATTGCTAAGTATTTTACTATGGGAACTGGATTTTTGCAGCCCATTCCCTATGGTAGGATACCTTGCTCGGCCTTGATGCAGGGTGGAGGGGCCAACACCTGCCTCAACTTAGTATGCCAGACTTTGTTGACTATCCAAGGAAGGCTTTACCCCTTCTGAGGATGGGGGTTGGATGAGTGGGAGGTGGGGGGAGAAAAGGAGGGAGGGGGAACTGGGGATGGCATGCAAAAATGAAATAAATTTAAATAAAAATGTGCTTCAGTCTCACTCCACAAGTAGTTTAGATACGTACTCTCCATGGTTCATGTTACCTAGGTTTAACCTAACTTCTGGTCTCAGTCACTTGTTTATTGCTATGAAGACACACCATGACCAAGACAACTTGTAGGAAAAAGCATTTAATTGGGGGCTTGATTACAGTTTCAGAGACTGAGTCCTTGACCATCATGGTGGGGATCGTAGTAGCAGACATTCATGCATGTCCCTGGAGCAGTAGATGAGAGCTTTTATCTAAACACAAGCAAAATTCAGAATGAGGGAGAAACTGGGTCTTACTTGGGCTTTAGGATTTCAGAGCCCACCACCAGTGACACACCTCCTCTGACAGGGTCACACTTCCTTATCATTTTTAAACAGTCTATCAACTGGGAAATAAACATTCAGCATATATGAGCCTATGGGGTCCATTCCCATTCACCACACTCTTCAACAGCCTTCATTTAATGAGGCTGTTTAAGAAATACAGCTCTTGGACCTCTGCTGGTGCTGCCCTGAGAGACAGCTCCTTCTCTTCCTACACACTGTGTAGAAATCCTTCTCCCTTAGTGTCCACTCTCATCTGCCATTTCACTTTGCTTAAATCCTGAGGACATGGTGTAGTCACTCATGTGGAATTAAAGTTAGGTTCTCTGATAATTCTTCTGAAATGTGGGAAAGGTGGCCATGGTTTTGATCCATCTCAGCTCTGGAAACAAAGCACTGATTTAAAATAAAATGCTCTAGTACTCATATTTATCTCTCTGTAAAGGAAGAACAATCTGAAATCAAAGACCACAGAGTCTCTTAAGAATGATTCATATTTTTGTAGACAAAGAACAGCAAAAAAGATACACATCTGGAACTGGATGGAGCCTAGCAGAACCATCATCAAAGAGACCAGAGGGACTGCCGATGGGAGCAGATGCAGAATTCCACAGCCAGCACTGGGCAGAGATAAGGGAGTCCTCCAGAGAGGGAGAAGAAGTGTGGGAGGAGCCAGAGTGTTCAGGGACACTAGGAGCACATGGCCTACAGAATCAACTGACGGGGACTCATGTTGGCTTGCTGAGATTAAGGAGACTGCAGGGATCTGACCTAGGTCTTCTGCATACGTTATGGCTGAGTGCCTTGGTCTTCTTGTGGGATTCCTAACAGTGGGAGCGGAGGTTGGCTCTGGCTCTTTTGCCTTCTTGTGGGACCCTTTACCTCTTACTGGGTTGCCTTGTCCAACCTTGATGTGTGATGGCATGTGCCTGGAATTATTGTAGTTTATTATGCCATATTTCACAACAGGTCTTTCTTTGGACTGTCAGTTCCCAAATAATGACAAGGAGACTTCTTATTAAGTATGAAATCTTGGCCTTACCTAAGGCTTGTTCCCAATTAACTCTTATAACTTAACCAATTTATATTAATCTACATTTTGCCACATGGCACAATACCTCTCTTCCATTCTGTATATCTGACTTCTGTCATATCTCACTTCTGAATCCCCTGCCTCAGTTTCTTCCCAGAGTTCTTTACTGCCCAGAATTCCTGCCTATCCTTTCATGCCTAGCTATTGGCTGTTCAAGTATTTATTAAACCTATCAGAAGGCACTTGAGGCAGATGAGGTAAAACAGCAACATATCTTCATACACTGTGATCAAATATCTGACAACAGAGTTTGGTTGATGTCCCTGGGAGGCCTACTCTTTTCTGAGGGGAGAGAAGGATTTTGGATCTGGGGGGAGATGGGAGGTGGAGCAAGAGAGTCTGGGAGAAGGAGAGGGAGGGGAAACTGCCATTAGAATGTAGTATATGAGAGAAGAATAAAAAATTAAAGGCATAGAACACGTAATTATTACATCAGAGTAACTGGCCTATCTGTTAATAAAAGTACGTTCTATGTTACTGGTTAGGGAGCAAAATGGAATGTTAACTTGCATTTCTGAACTCCGAAAATCTACTTCAAAGGCACAGCATAGAATAGGATCTCTGAGATGAGTGCTTGTCAAACCTATAATGAATGCTAAATCTAATAAAAAGAGACCCTAGTGTCAGGCATGGGACACCTGCTTTCAAATTGATTGTCAGGGCCTTCAAGGGTCTCCTCCAATGAAATAGGCTATGTGCATCGGTTTGATTGCCTCATAAAACTTGTAGGTAAGACCCTTTTGCTAAGAATACCACATACTTCAGATATAGGACTTGAAGGAATTTACCTAGAAATGACCTGAAGACTCTTTCCAAAGAATGAGTTCACATAGTATGTGCAAGATTCCAAGGGAGAAAAGCTATAAATAATCCTACCAAGCTGTATAAAGGTTATAAACCAAAACAATGTCCTCAATGGCAAGATGTCCACAAGGATGCAATGTAGCACTTCTATCTTGGTAAAAAACTAACATAAGTGTCTTATTGGACTTAAGGCCTGCTCACTAGAAATGATATTAGGCTCAATACTAATATCAAATACAAACTCAATTACCTACCCATGACAAAAGAAGTCACAGACCCTAGAGGAGAACCTACCATGGCTACTGCTGTGGGATATTGTTCTGTATGCTGTAAATATGTGTTGCTCTGATTGGTTGATAAATAAAACGCTAGCCGGGCGGTGGTGGCGCACGCCTTTAATCCCAGCACTCGGGAGGCAGAGCCAGGTGGATCTCTGTGAGTTCGAGGCCAGCCTGGTCTCCAAAGCGAGTACCAGGAAAGGCGCAAAGCTACACAGAGAAACCCTGTCTCGAAAAACCAAAAAAAAAAAAAAAAACGCTGATTGGCCAGTAGCCAGGCAGGAAGTATAGGCAGGCATGCAGAAGAGAAGAATGCTGGGAAGAGGAAGGGCTGAGTCAGGAGTCGCCACCCAGACACAGAGGAAGCAAGATGTGAAGGCGGAACTGAGAAAAGATACCAAGCCATGTGGCTAAACATAGATAAGGATTAGTAGTTAATTTAAGTGTAAGAACTAGTCAGTAATTATCCTGAGCTAATGGTCAAGCAGTTATAATTAATATAAGCTTCTGGATGACTATTTTATAAGCAGGCCACAGGGCTGCAGGGGCTTGGCGGGACCAGAGAAAACGTCCAATTACATTTGGTGCTCATCATTGGGCATTGATCCATATAGATCTAAGAAAGCTTGAAGATTCTGAACATACAGAAAAGGAGCCACACTAGGCTTCCTAGTCTCACAGTCTCATGCTAGCTGCAGTGTAAAGACTCATCTCCCACCAGCTGCCTGTGAGATGGAGCTGGCTGCCAGCCACCATAAGCTGAGCAGCATGGTGGATTCCCACCGAAGCACACAGAGGCATCTCCAAGCTGCACTGCACACTGCATGGTGGATTTCGCTTTTGCTAGTACAGAAAAAAAAAAAGAGGTTTCTGGGCTACACGTGGCTGGTTGGAGGTATGGACCCACTGCTTCCCAGAGTCAGCAGAGAGCATGGCTCCCAGAGTTGGAGGTGAATTAATTCCACCATGTTGAAAAGCTGAAATGCGTGGAGTCAGCAGCAAAGGCTTCCACTTCAGTCTTAAACACGCAGTTTAAAATCTCTCAGGGTCAGAGATTTTAAACAGATTCACGATAAGGCAGATTCAGATGGAATAAACCTCTAAATAGTTTACAGTGTGTGTAAAATGTTCATAGGCTTGGAAGAGAAAGGAAAAGGAGGCTAAACTGTTGTATAAAGAAATAGTTTTAACAAGAGACAGTAAAAGTAGTATAAAAAATAAGCCATGTAAAAATGGAAATCACACAGAGTCTGGATTATACTGTCTTTGG